GTGGCTCAGTCAGTAGGTGCTTGGAGTGGCTTGGTCGGTATAGGTGCTTGGAGTTCCTCGGTCGTTATTGGTGCTTGGTGTCCTCGGTAGGTGCTTGGAGTGGCTCGATGGATAGGTGCTCGGAGTAGCTCGGTTGGTAGGTGCTTGGAGTGTCTCGGTAAGTATAAGAGCTTGGAGTGGCTCAGTCAGTATAGGCAGTTGGAGTGGCTCGGGTGGTAAAGGTGCTTGGAGTCGCTCAATCGGTATAGGTGCTTGGAGTAGCTCGGTGGGCAGTTGCTTAGAGTGGCTAATCTCTGTAGCACACCGAACGTGTTCCGAAGAATCCGAAGTTTTCCGAACGTCCGAACACGTTCGGCCGTTCGCCCGAGCGGGAAGCGAACGTGTTCGCACGAACGGCTTTCGGAGGCCTGCGAACGCGTTCGCCCAGTGGGCGTTACCGGCCCTCTGAAGGGTCTGGGGGGTAGGTGGGGGCCCTGGGGGGGTGTTTTGGGGGCGGGGTTGGGCGGGCGGCCTGGTGGGAAGGGGCAGTCGGGTCTCCTGTTCGAATTCGAATGAACAGTCAGGCTGCCCCGCCGCTCGTCGCCGCGCAGCATTTGCCATCGGAGCAGCGAGCCCCCTGGTAGGTGTGCCTTCTCCTCCTCCTCCTCCTCCTCCTCCGCCGCCGCCGCCATATCTTCTTCTTCTTCCTCTTCTTCCTTTTTTTTCCGGTTTTTAAATTTTTAGTTCTCTTTGTTTTCTAACTTTTCTAAGTTCCTTCTTCGTCGAATCTTCTTTTTCTTCTTCTCCTACTTTTTCTTCCTCTTCTACTTCTTCTTCTACCTCTTCTTCTTCTTCTTCTTCTTCTTCTTCTTCTTCTTCTTCTTCTTCTTCTTCTTCGTCGTCGTCGTCGTCGTCGTCGTCGTCGTCATCGTCGTCGTCGTCGTCGTTGTCGTCGTCGTCATCGTCGTCGTCGTCGTCGTCGTCGATCTCCCCTCCTCCTCCTCCTCCTCCTCCTCGTCGTCCGCATCCCGATCCCGACTTCCCCATTCCCCCCCCCATTCCCATTTTTTTTCCCATCCCCCGATCTTCATCTCCCGGACCTTACACCGACTTTCACTCTAATCTCATCCCGATCCCAACTTCCCCCGTTTCCTCCTTCCCATTTTCCCATCCCCTGATCTTTATCTCCTCGGACCTAACCCCGACTTTCCCCCCAATCTCATCCTGATCCCGACTTCCCCCCGTGTCCCCCCCCATTTCCCCCACCCAACCGTTTTCCCATCTATCGATCTTGACCCGACTTCCCCAGACTCCCC